ATCACTGAGGATTCAGAAATGCAGGCTGCTTTGTTGCAAACGAGACGGGGTTCCAGGAATTCTTTTTCTTTCCTCAACATTCTACCGACTTCGTAATAGACTAAGGTTTTTGTATGTGGCATAGAGAATTTATAAGTGCAGCGATGGAAGGAATGCAGGCAAAGGGGAGTGTGAACCCAAGCATTTTGCACATGGCAGATTGATTCTAAGACTGGTTTATCCAGAACCAAAATCATTATGCAAAATATAAATAGGAAGCATTAGCTTGAATTGTTGTAATGACTATGTATAGTAATTGTACATGCATACCACTTTAGTCTGAGCAAGAATCATAGGCGTTTATGTTTATTGTTGTTTTTTTTTCCGGTACCGGGAATCAAACTCATGACCTCACGCTTGCCAGGCAGGCGCTGTGCCGCTGAGCTAAATCCCCAGCCCCGCATTTATGTTTATTGAGGACCTTCCATGTACCCAACAATGTGCTAAGTGTGATACAAACCTGACTTCCAGTCTTTTCAAGGATGCAGCCATTTCTGAGGTTGTTCAGGGTTATTAGTGTACCTGTTTATATAGAAGAGGAAAAGAAATGCTCCAAAAATGAAACCCAAGGATCTTTAAAAGATGAACTGATGTCCAGTTTATCCTGCTCCAAAAGGCTTTCTTTCCTTCTCTCATTATTATACTGGTCTTCTCCCAAGCTAGAAAATAAGCAATGGCACGCTAGTAAAATTCCTTTGCCTACCCAAGATTTTTTAAAAATTATTTTAATTTCTCGACTTTATTTGTTTAGCTACAGTAGTCAAGGTAATGTTGCAAAATAGCCGAGAAGTAAGTGGAGGTCTGAAACCTGCACAAAATTGGTAATGGGAAAATCCTTTTCTAGGGACTCAGCACCGAAAAATCATTTTAAAAGAGAAATGCTTTGGAAAGTGAAAAGATCTCTTGGGTATATTAGCGGAGCTGCTGTGTGTTGAAGAAAGAGAAAGCCGAATTACGCTGTGCATGTTGGGAAATCACACAATCAGAACACTTAAGAACGTTTATACAATTTTTCACACGTAGATTGACCAAAGACCTGACGGCAATTCCACCGGTGAGACCAGTTATTATGACTACGTTCCATAAAGAAAGAAGAGAGATAGGCAGTGACTTATGTAAGAATACACAGCAGTTCCCAAACTCAGCTCGTGCTAGTCTGACCTCACATGAAACCGTGCAAACTAGAAGAGAGGAAGAAACTAATATTAAAGAAAAAAAATTCCTTAATGTTGTTAGCACATCTTTAGAAAAGTTCCAGACATTTTTTGGTAGGCAAAAAGGCAAAATTCAAACCCTAGTTAAATGCACTTGTTTCTGACATTTTATATAAGGAGAGCTTTCACTGGTGTCCTCAGATATATGTGAGATTAACAAGAAAATGTACGAGTCGGTGACTGTCTGAGCTGCCACTTCTCCATTGCCTTGTTATTCTTGTTCCTTTCAATGTATTTCAACTCCAAAATACATAGTGACATGAAAATTGCGTATTCAGATTGTGCTATTGATTCGTTGAGAAAGTGACCTTGTATGCACACATGAAAATGAAGAGATCTATATCCCCTGCTGGCCTCTTCTTTGTAAGGGGATGAGGGACAAGAGAGGAGAGCATGTGTTTTTTAGCACATAGATTTACTTTTCCTTTGCATAGATTAATAGCATACTGATGTGGGACCCTAACCTTGCCGGGTTGTACAGGTGCGACCTAGCTGAGGACACCTAGCAGAGGCCACAGGAAGCTAAAGTCTGGTGTTCCATTTGCAAAACCAATGGTGGAGGTTCTCTTTGTGATTTGGACAATGATTTTCTTGGGGCTGAATTCTTCAGCTCATTTGCACAGGTGCTTGCCACCAGGGACCCACCCATATTCTAAAAAGTGCCGCAACCAATGTTCTAATAAGAAAGGGGTCCCACACTGATATTTTCAGACACCTCTGCCCATTGGCAAGTTTAATACATCACACATTATTTGCAAATCTTGGGTGTTACACAACTCCTGCCCTGTTCCAAGCATGCAAAACCAGTGCTTCATTTAATCCTCATGATGACCTTGAGGTGCGTGGCGTTAAGCCATTTTCTGGGTATAGAAAGTGACACGCAGAGATTCTATAACAGCTTCCCTAAGATCAGGCAGCAAGTAAATGGCAGAGATGGGGCTGCAACCCAGGATCTCTGATCTAAATTCAGGTCCACTTAATTATTTCATGCATCCAAAGCCCCTGTGGTTTGGACTCCTGATCACAGGACTGAGATGAAATAGAATTTCTTAGCATAAGGAACCAGGCAGTAGATGGGCCTTTGCCAAGAACTTTTTCCCCCCCAAAGGCAGAGGTCAGCAGAAAGCGATGAGAGAGAGAGAAGGAATGAAGAGATTGAAGTTGGTCTCCAGAATAGAAGTGCTTCTTCGTCTTTTACAACAGAAACACAAACCCAGATTGTGTTTGCCAGAAATTCCCGAATTGCACATGGCACTTTACATTTAGGGAGGGAGGAAGGCAAATGAGAAGAAAAAAATAGCATGTAGAAACTTAAAAAATGGTCGGCTGTATGCAAATGGCTTTTATTATAACTTCTGGGTTGAACCAGAAGACTTGGGCTGTGTAAAATGTCACTTGCTCTTACCACGGTTCATAGAGATTACCTTTCAGCATGAGTTTCATTTTCATTTCTTCCAACACTTAGAGAAGTGCACGAGGCAGTGACTCCTTTATTTCCTAATCCTCGCCAGCAACTTGCTTCTTCCTCTGTGTTTTGTGTCATGCTGGATGCTACTGCGTCAAGGCAGTTCGCGACAGCAGTTGAACCAAAAGCAATTTAAGTCGAAAATGGACAAATATGGATGTCATTTCTAAGGCTTGTTCAAAGGCCTTTGACATCACTCAAAGCCAGAACACTTCTCAGCACTGAGACTCTTTTTATTTCCCAGCTAGGCGGGAGTGGAGATTGAATACAGACCTCTTAGTGAGGCAGCTACACCGTTCTAAGGCAGAAACCATGTCTTGGTAAAGCCAGGAGTGAGTGTTACATACTGAGAAGAATTGAGTGATTTGAAAATGAACTGAATGTCCAAAGTGAATTTATATCTATTATTTGCATTTGGGTACGTGTAATGATAACAGCTACTGGGTATCGATATTTATTATAGGTGGGTATGGCTTTAGGAGCCTTGTATTTGGGTTCATCAGTTTTCATAACCACCATGCATAGAAATACCAATACACATTAATACTGAAAGGAAGATGTTACTGCCTTCATGTTCCAGGTGAGAAAGCTGAGTCTGTGACCTTCTCCATGGCGCAGATGCTTGCACCAGTCATTTCCCCTCCCAGTGCTCTCGAAAGACTGACATGGTGAGAACCCAGAGCCATGTGGTCATGCACGTCCCTCTTTGGGGCTTTGGGGACATGGGAGACTTGGCAGCATCCATGCACCTCTGCCAGGCGGGGCCATAGCTTGTGGCTGCCCAGGCTGGGGGTGCTGTGTAGGGAGGGTGGAGTGGGGGGGTGTTCGGCCATTCCCTGGAGGCAAAGCTGAAAGGCACGGCACAGGAAGGTGACTCAGTCGCTGCAGAGTAAGGAGGAGAAAGTGTGCTAACGCTGCCTGGTAAGGAGATGACAAGTCACTTCCTGAATGCTGGAGTGTCAAAAAGCCCATTTCAGAGGAGAACTTAGCAGTTTCCGTAGATTGATTCTTAGAGACACAATTGAATCTTAAAATGGTGAGAGCCTTTACACACAACCCATGTTAGAGAATTTTCTCCGACTACAAAAGGAATAAAACCGGTGAAAAAAGCAAAGCCCCAAAGATTACATGCTGCAGGATTCCACTTATGTAGCATTCAGGATGTAACAAAATTACAGCAATGAAGAACGTGAGGGATCCTGGAGGGGAGCGAGATGCCCTGAGTGTTGACTTTGTGAATGTCAAGGTACTGGTTGTGACATGGCACCAGGGTTTTGTGAAATGTCACCATTGGGGTAACTGGGTCAAGGGACATGGGATCACTGTGTTATTTCATACAACTGCTTGGGAATTGACTTCTCTCTAAATCAGAAGTTTAGTCAAAATACAAAGAGTTACTAAACATTTTGGGGAAAACTGACCAAGAAAATTTAAATCAGCCACAAGACCACTCCTGGAGAGAGTCACCCTTTCTATTTTGGGGTACAGAGTATATCCTTTCTCTCTCAGTCCCCCATCTCCACCCAGTTCAAACATAAGACATGGAGGAGTTTTCAGGTGTATTTACACCTATTTGACCTTGTAATATCCAGTCGTTGCACACTCAGAAAAGCCTGAAAGCTGTGCTAAAACTGATGTCTTGGCACTGATCCTGATAAAAAGACCACAGTGAGATCCCCTTCCAAGGAGCCCAAGTGATCACCGTGGATGAGGAATGGATGCATTTTATGTGCAAAGCTGTGACCTTTTTTCCCCTTCTCATGCTAATAGGCGTTACGATTTTGCAATAAATATTACTTACGGCTGTTGATTGAACTGTATGCCGGACTGTCAGTACATGTTTATTTTTTCTCTTGCTCTCAATTTTTATTTTATTTATTAATTTATTTGGTTTTTTGAGACAGGGTCTTGCTGTTTAATTCAGACTACCCCTAAACTAATTATATAGCCCAGGCTGGCCTCGAACTTGCAGCACTTGTCCTGCCTCAACCTCCTGAGTGATGGGATTACAGGCATGCACTATCACACCGAGCTTATTTTATCATTTTAATTTCTCAAAGTTCTTATTGTTATGGGAAGCAGGGAGAGAGTAGGGTGAGGTTACTTGGGGCACATCAGATTTGCAATTACATCCTGATTGATGCTCCTACTGAAGGATCAATAAACTGGTTAGGATCAATACATCAGGACTGACAGTGGCTTAGAGGGCACCTGGAAAACCCAACCCCAAATATTACCCCATCATGCTCCAAAAGTAATGCCTTTGAGTGTCTTATTTCTAGATACCTCAAGGTGACCTTCCAGCCCGAGGAGCTAGCCAAACTTCAAGGCAGGTAAGAGCAAAAGTCCTACATTTTGTTCCTCTTATCACCACTTAGTATCTTGGTCACATGAGTCGCTTTATTTTTCTGATCCTCCATCCCCTTACCTTTCCAAGCCTGTTTCTTTATTTTTTAGGAGACTTAAGTCGCTTGGTGTTTGGAAGTTCAAATGAGTTAACACACATAAACATACTTTACAAATACAAGGTTGTATCCCAGAACGACTTGCCATCCTAACGGGGTGGGAGGACTATGTGTACAGCCTCCCAGTTGGTCCTCAGTGTGAGCTCACAGAATAATTTAAATATGGGATAACTGCCATCACTAATCCTGACTGCACATCCATAACTGTGATGTGAAACATATAAATTCAGAATCCGGTTCAATAGGTCTCTGTGGCGTGAAACAGTCCTGACACTCTCTGCACCTTAGTTTTTTAATGTGTGGTTCTTATTTTGAAGAGAAATTATTTGCAGATTTGGGAAGAGAAGGTATAAGGCATAACACTGAGGATTTTATATGATTGAAAAATGCGGTTTTGGTTGACAAATGTTATAGCCCTCCAGACAATCACTGTAGAAGTTCTCATGGCTGGACTTTAAGGGGGTGTAGCATAGTGTGACACCACCTCTACCTGGATCTTGTTTCTTGGTGTCAACAGAGCCGATAGTTTGTTTGGAATTGTATGTCTCAGCATTAAGCAGGACTCCTCACAGTCATTCAATCAGTCTTGACACTCACTATCCAACACAGTGTTTCCTCATCTGTCATGTGCCTACGAATCAACTAGCTCCTGCGATCTTCTTAAATTCGGAATCTGATTCAATATGTCTAGTCCAACATAAGGAACTTCCCACAACCTGGCAACCTGTGCAGCGATCACGGGACATCCGTGTCGGTGGAAAACTTAATGTGCTCTGAACTCAGTGTGCACGGAGTCTTTTGAGGAATGCAACAACTTTCTAAATCAAGAGAAGATTGTATCAGATTTTGTTGAAAACTTTACCAAAGTGGACACCTTGGAAAAGACGGGTACTGTAGCACTCTGGTAAATGAGGTGGTCGCCATGACCTGGGATTTGTCTACAGAGGTGGCCGTTACGATCACAGCAGTTTAGGCAGCTGTGTCCTGGAGCTGCTCTTTGTAGCACATGAGAGCAGACTTTCCCTGTTTCTGCTCATGCTTGTTGGTAGCTTGAAACTGACCATGGCAGAGTACTGACATCATGAAAACTACCCAGTGCTACCAATCAGAGTAGTTGTTTTTGTTTTTCATTTGCAAAGAGCTGGTTTATCATTTAACTGACTGTATAAAAATATAGTTAGCCCATATTTGAAAGTTCTAGTGAATTTTGTCTTATTTTATTTTTTAATGTAACCCTCCAACTAAATGCAAACATTTGACTGTTTCATTATGAGCTTCTGGTATAATCCTGTCTGAGCAGTTAGCTTTGAAAATGCATATTTTATTATCAATTACTTTTTCTCTATTTTATAGTTAAGATGTTATATAATTTTAGTTAATTATGCATGTGGGTAGCCCATGTTATTTATGAATTTCATTTCAGGATGTTAATAAACAGTTATAAAATATTTCTTTTAAAAAGAAGGTCTTGGATTGCGGAGTTTGAATAGCAATGATGTAATTAACCACCCAGCAGGGCTGGCAGGCATGGAGAACTCCAGGCTCTCCTCTTGGCGAGAAGGAGAGTAGAAGTCACACTGTAAAGTCAGACCATGAGCAGCACCTTCCCTTCCTCATGCTGGGGAGGGCCTGCATTGACTCTAGATCCCTCTGTAGCAGTGCATTTTAAACCTAGATTAGAGTGAACAGCGGTATATCTAATAAAATAATCCAGGGGGAGTTCATTCTAAACAGATTCAGCAAGGCAGGAATTAGGATGAGAAAGAAGCCAAAATTGATTAGAAATCAAAATTGATTGATTGTATATCCTTGGAAAACACTATATAAGATATAAGGGAGGGTAGTGAAGATGGGCTGAAAAGAAAGTATTCCCTTCACAAGAAATAGAGAGAGAATAGAAACCTGACCTAGAGAAACACATATGCACATACCTGTGCTCGCGCATGCGCACGTGTGCGCGCGCGCGCGCGCGCACACACACACACACACACACAATTCAACAGCCTTATTAGATAGAAAAGCAGTTTGTAACCGTGCTGGCTATCTTACCCTAAACGCTACAAACATTGCACTCAGGGATGGTCTTTGCTTTTGGCACTCATTCGTGTTTTTAATTTTTTTGGCACCGTAGAAATGTTTCCATAAATAGTGCATTTAATGGAGTGTGTTACTTTATTACTGTCAGCTACTATAACTATAGAGGAAAATTCAATAAACACAGAAGCTAAGATCAGAGGGTACAAGGCTTCCAATACCAGATCCTTCATGGGCTTTCACTAATGGAACCTTTCCGTGTCTTCGCCTATGTCAGTTCTACTTTTTGGAGTAGAGAAGCCACTAGGTTCAGTCCCTGGTTGGTAGCAGATGTGCAACCGGATATGGGAAGCATTCAGTATTATGGTGGCTGGCTGGCTGGCCTACAGCGCCTTCCTGTGCTGCTGAGATGTGGACATCCAGTGTAGAACCCGAGGTGACTGTTCGGTCTGCCCGCCCTTTCGGCACTAGCAGGCTTCGCAGGCAGCAAACCCCCGAATGAAATGTTGTGATTCTTTGCCATGAAATAATTGGAAATCACTTGCTCAGCTAGAGCGGGGATCCAGAGTAAAGGAGAAAGGAAAAAATAAAAAGGCATAAATATGTGAGAAAGTGAGCAAATCAAAGTCACTGAGGAGCAAAATAATTCATTCCCTCCGTCTGGCTCAGCATGGATGCAAATGATGTTTAAGTAAGTCCCTGACACAAAGGCAGCCGGCGTAACTGTTGCTTCAAATATTTAGCCTGTGCCAAGAGCAATTTTTTTATTATGTTTTTTATAAGTTTGATTTACTAACCTTCGGTGCAATCACTATTTTTAGAGGTTGGCTCGTATTTTTAATTTGTTTTCTCCGAAGCGCTGGATCCTTACTAGTGTTTCAGCTGTCCACTCCGTTCCTAATGGCAGAGCAACACTGAAAGGCGTAATTACATTTCCTAATTATGTGTAATTAGGCAAAACCCAGATGATGTATTCAATGTGCTCTCAGAATAGCCAGGGGTCAAGGACTGTTGGAATTCAGTAACATTTTTATAAATAAGCTGGTGCGTTATTTAACGCTGAGGTCCAAGGTGGGCTGAGTGCCGTGTAGACCAATATAATGGTTGAAATATATAGCATTAATTTATTTAGCCAAGTAAAACTATAATTGATTCTCCTCTTCCTTACCTACCTCTCTTTTTAACACCAGAGTGCAAATTTGCTAGTCTCAGCCCAAGAGAGCCCCTCTAAACTCAGAACCATAAAGTTCTGCTTACTGACAGCCTAAGTGATATTTATTTTTTCAAAGCTTAATCCTTTTGAAACATGGAGAAATAAATACATCCTCTTATCTACCATATGCCTGGGAAGGGAAATAAATTCTTATTTTCCTGCGGTGTGGTACCAGTGGGCTACAATGAATAATTTGGGCAGTCTCGCTGAAGATAATAGGGAAGCCTTCTCTATTACCAGTGATAATTATGAATCTCATAATAGAAAACATCCCATGCCTGAACATCAATCAGGGGAGATAAACAATGGGAAACGATAGGTATACAAAGGGGAAAATGGCAACGGCACATATGGAGGGAAAGACCGCAGAATTCTGGCGGGGTTATAAATCATAGAGTCAAATAATTTCCATGCAGTTAATAGACTCAAATTAAAACATAGGTTTTTCAAGAAAGATTTTGCAGACTTTTAAGCTGGGCAACTGGCTGCCTTACAGGATTCACCCATCAACCTCAGAGCCATCCTTCTTTCTGAGTCCTGTGTGTTGAGCCCTGGCTGGAGTTGGCTGGGGTAACGGCTAACCATGTCACCATGTGAACTGACCCGCTGACCTCAAGCCAGCTCGCCAGGGACGGGCCATACACCGAGGAGGCCAGAGCTAGTGGTGGTTGACTACAGAGCAACAGAGACGGGCCTAGTGAGGCTGGAAATCTAACTTCCTTGCCCACCCTGAAAGCCTGTCTCCAGCCACACGGACACAGCCCGGTGAAGGGCTTGACAAAGTTACAGACAGCTGGAAACCTGCGTTCCCCAGGCTCCTTGTCTCCGCCTGTTTAATAGCCCTGCATCCCTATACGGTCCTTTCTTGCTGCCTTTTTGTTTAATCAAATTCCAAGGTACTTCTGTGGACTGATGCTATTTTTAAAAAAAATTAAAAAGAATCCATTGGTAACTATGAGAAAATATTGTCTTCTTAGTCTACTATTGCTATTTAAAGTGAAAGATGAGACTGTTTGGCTAATTTACTTACTACATTATGAGCAAAGACCTACAAGATTTCTAGCCTCTCCTCATATTTGCCTGCATGTGAAAATTCCCAGCCCCTGGCCCCTGTGGACATGAATTCAAATAGAATCTCTGCACTGAAACCCCTGTTTAAGAAGAGTGGCTTGATTTGAGTCAGTTGTCAAATATGTCCTAAAGGCTGCAAAACAGACTCCTGGATTTTGTTTTATAGGCTTAATATAATATTGTATAAAATGTACTTTTAAAGAAATATGTAATTTTTCCCCCAAAGCAAAGGTTTTCCCATGCCATATAATTTGCTAAGTGTGGCTTTGCTACGTTGTAACCATAATTTATAGCCAGCCTCCACGAGGCAAAAAATAACTCTAAGCTATGATTAAGTAAGTAATGGACAAGGTAACTAATATTCCTGGAAGGATGGCCTTCCAGACACTCATTTTAAGTGACAAAATGGTTGAGGTTGGGATGTGCAGTCCTGTACTAATTTAACTGAGTTGTGGGGAATCAAGAAAAGATGTTGTAAGTTGGCATATCTGGGTAGTTAGGACAAGGAGCGGAGAGTGGATATTATACGTGTACGTTTTAACGAGCGTAT